GGTGTGGGTATCATCATGAGGAAAGCACTGACCCACATCCGCACACCCACACTCTTCAGCACGTGTATCGTAACTGAGCGTCTTTACTTCATAGAAATATGCACCATTGAAGCCAACTGGTTGATGATATGTATCATGCTTTTCATTTGGATATCTACAGTGAAGCCCAACTGGCTGATCAAGTGTACGATCACGTAAACAAGTTAAATCTACTTGGCCATACGGCAATCGTTGACGTACCAAAACTATGAGCATTTTGCAATTCTTTTGATATTTCAGTAACAATCTTTTCAAAATGCTCTCGATCGCTATCACAATTACGATAATTTTGAGAAATCGATGTTTATATTTTCCGATGAAATATCTGTTCTTGAATATGATAATTCACTTGCTAACTCTGAGAGGAGCTTTGGAACCAGCAGTGCGGCTGTGGGTGCAGGTGCGAGTATGGATAAAATGGATCAACACCCAAATCCATTCCCCTAAATTGTCTTCATCAAACAGTTAGTAAAGATCATTAGAACACAGCTACAACGTACAAAAATGTTTGAAGAGTATATCACATTCAGGTCGGGTTCAAGTTAGCTTTCAGGTATTCGAGAAACTATCACAAAATTGGACGTCATTACTTGCTAGAGCTACTTTCAAGCATAGTATAAATGTATACTCTTGTCGGTGAAACTTATCAAAGCCTCAGCCAAGTCACGAAAGTATGGGTGTGGGTGCGGATTAATTGCGGAATATGATTTACACCCACACCCACTCACACCCTAGGTCAACGCAAAGAGTTTCAACGATGAGAGCATAAAAGGTAATCAGTTCTTAGACAAATTCCATAGAAAGTTTTACTAAACCTTTAGCTTGTAGAGGCATGACACCAACGGCGACCACAAATGAACGCGATGTTTCATCAACGTAGCGGAAGTCAGACGCACGTTGAAGAGCTTTGATACTGATACATATGGCAGAAGCTTCGGGATCAATAAAAGTATTAAGTGGTGTGTTATTAATTGTAAATGTGGTATACAGAAGAAAAGGTTTGGATAATTTAAAAAATGAAGTATTGAAGACAGTATCACCCGACACTGACTCCAACTTTAAAAAGAACAGTCGCGAGCTGAGTGTCCTGACTTAGAACAACGTTGACAGACAAGGATAGGAGATTGTCGAGATGATTGCGTTTGTTCTTGCTGATATGAATTCGATGACGAATATCGAGGTGAATAATTAGTGTTGGTGGGAAAACGTAAATTATAACGTGATGCGTTGGTGTTTCGATAGTTGTTATCGTTATGATTATCATACGGTGTTAATTGATGGCGATTCGACGATGAGTACGGAGGAGTGTCAAACGAAAAAGGAGAAACTTCAGAAGGAAACAGTGTAATAGATTGTGTATTCTGTTGCATGGCATCAAATGCTAGATAGGTATTTTCAAGATCCTTAGCCATTATCTCGAATTCTTCAGGATCCTTTGTCTTTTGTTTCAATAGATCAAGACGATAACTAGGATTTACTTTGACCGACAATAATTCTTATTTCATCGTTGAATTCATTTGTGGATCAGCTTCTTGAAATAATTTTCGCATCTCATTACAAAAATTTCGACCATCTCGTTGCAATGATTGAGCGTAAAAATTGAGCTTTTGCATTGCTGTACGAATACGATTTGGAGAATCAAATGTTTTTTTCGAAGTGGATGACAAACTCAGGCCACGAGTTATTAAATTTCACTTCATTATCTTGAAACCAATCAAGTGCACCTTTCTCCAACAGTTGAGAAATCATATCGAATCTCTTCGCGACTGGAATTCCTGTTGTTTAAAATTTAATTTCAGGGCATTTCCATGAGGCGTATACCATAAAAAACACAAAGATCTCAGAAAATGTTTTAAGGTATCAGAGTTTGTAGAGGTTTTCCACTGATCATTTTGATAAAAAAAATTCTCTTTTCATCAAAAAACAACGGCGCTAGGGTCAAAATACTGAAAAGTGGAAAAAGTCGCATCGGTGACTTGTTTTTTCAGTATTCTGACTCTACCGTCGTTATTTATCAATGGAGTAGGGCAAAATTTTATATTAAAATGATCAGCAAAGAAAGCTTTACAAGATCTGATACACCAAAACATTTTCTGAAATCCTTGCATTTATATGACTGGCTATCTATGGTTATCCATGTTCAAAAAGTCGATCACCATAACTCATAATGGCTATATTCCTGCACAATGGGACTTAGTGAATTCTGTAGAGCGAAGTCTGCTCTACAAAATCCTATACGTGGTAACTGAAACATGCCGAAAAAATTGTGCGTAAAATTCAACAAAACACTAAGGACTATGATTATTCCGGGAAAGGAAGAAAATTTATGCATATTGCTTTAAAATTCTATTTGTTTGAGCTGAAAATTGTAGTACGGTGACATTTGAGCAATGGAAGTCGAGCGATGAACTCGAAGAAGATTTCTAAGTCTATTGTGACCCAGTCGAGAGTATCTGAACAATGATTTCGATGAAAAGTTTTTCCAACATGTTATTTTGTCGAGTCAACGATGTGTGATTTGAATTTATCTAAAAGAATTCTACAGTAGAGAACCGACTATAACTCTGATCCGTTAAACAGTGACTGATTATATGGATATATGATTTATCTTACGCTTATGGTTATGACACGTTTGTATGATATGGCATATAAGACGCATGACTAGTGGTGTTAACTATGTAGATTTATTCTCTTTTTTTCCTTACATATATGTTTCTTCCCTTTTGCCAGGTTTTTTTCTGGTTGTTTCTCTCTTAGTTTCTTCCATTCTTTTTGGTATGTATATTTCATGTGTCCCAAGATAATGTGAAAACCGTATGGTATGTTTCATTGTATCTTCCATTTAGCACATTACATAAATACGTACTGTTATCTGTCTGCAGAGAGTAATGAAGCTCAGTTTACTGTTTGTCCGAGACGTTTTGAATTTATGGATAAACGTATACGCATCAAAATAGAGTGGACCTTTCAGCTACTATTTGCAAAATTCATTCTGTACACCATATCAATTAGTTCCAAAAAGTCAGAAACATGCCGTACAAAAAGAAGATCTTGTGTGCCCATCCTGTGCATACTAAAAATACTCAATCAGGATATAATCCATCGCATCCTAACGGTAGAATGACTATTAATGCGGTCCAAGCCGATTTGATCAACGAACATATATCTTCTAACACAGTCTGGTCGTCAAAAATGCTTGTAGCTGGTGACCAACTGTACAAACAGTGTTTCAATTTTCTGTCAGTTTTGTCAAATGAGTCATTCGATTCCCAAGAGATGAACGTTGATAATGAAGATCGAATGAGTACAAGCAGCGCAAGCGATGTATCTGAAGATATCGCTAATCCTCCATCATCTGAAGAGTGGCCGTTCACTCGACAGAAAGCACGAGAAGAATTGAATGCTGTCTTTCAGCTGCTGAAAATGAATAAAATACGTGATGAGTAAGCATTTTCTCGTAGTTTGCCTATCAATTCTTCTATTTTTTTTTGACAGTCATCGAAACAAGTTGATTCGAGAACAAGTCGACGATGTATAGCGATATCTCCAGTTCGATCAGACATAGGAGATTAGAGAAACGCGGATGCTTTTGCACTTTGTTTTTCATGAAAAGGTTGGTTTGGAAAAAATGCGAAACAATGTATAGTTTTCCCTATTTTCATTGCATAAATTTGATAATATATAAAGGCAATTTTTGGTTCCCAAAATGTATTCAGTAGATAAATACTACTTCAGACTATACAAAATATATTTACTAATAGGATATTTATTTCTATCAGTATTAATAGCTGCATATTCTACATCTCCGAATAATTGTTGGCATATTCGAGCCAACGCATAAGCAGTCATCATGCCATGTAAAGCACCCACAAATACTGTTCGACTAATATGTTCAGTAGAACCAAGTCGTTGTTCCCAACTTTCATAGCTATCACTTTCAGATAACCATTGTGAATCTTCCTAAATGATAAAAAAGATATCCTTTAAATTTAATTCTCATATAGAATACTTACTACAAACTACGGAATAATTCGAATTTAGATAAAGAAAATATTTTTCTATGCTTTTTCTTCGTGAAATTGTTTGTTGACTATCAACATCAAGATAATATTCACATCGACCATCATCTAATGATCGATCAGTTTTTGTTGAACATATATGTAAAATATGATGAATGAATTCTTCATTTTCATAAATAGCATAAGCAATACCGGTCGTAACTAATTTAAAAGAAACTTTCAATTTAAAAACTTTTTCTTAATAAAAATTTCTCATACTATTTGATGAATGTCTATGTATGGACATATTATCCATATTGAGCCATTCTAGTCGAATTTATCCAAAACTTCCTAAACATTCTTGTAAATCTT